CAACACCAAGCAGATTCGGCAGCAAATATCTGTCTTATTTGCGAAGAAATTATGCTAAATACACAACCTTGTGTTGTAACGCATTGTAATCACATTTTTCATAAGCATTGTTTGGAAACACATGTACCAGTACATAAAGAGTGTCCTTGCTGCTTAAAAGCAGTACAGCCAAAAGATTGGAAAGTAGTTGTAGGTAGCCATTCACCGAATGCGAGGAGCGCGGTCAACAACCCTCCAAAAAGAGTCGTTGCAACAGGTTCTCGTCCGTGTACTCGGTCGTTAGCACATCAACTAGAAGCAATTGCACAACCGGCACCAACGGAAGCCGAGGTTCTGGTCAGAGTTCATGACCAGTCTAATTTATCAAATTCAGAAAACCAACATTCACCAGGAAGTACGCCTACGAATCAAGGAGTTAGGGCAAGATTAGATCAAGTCGCCAACGCACCAGTTAGACGAGGTCGCCCTCCAAGGCAAAGAAGACAGAATAATCCGCCAGCAGCCAATAGTGTACCGCGAGCGGAGATAGAATCAATCGTTCGAGAGACAGTGACTCGGGTTTTGTCATCTAGCCTAGCACCGCCACCCGGACAAGTAGCTGAACATGCAAGCCCAGGTACACTTCGAAGTTATAGGTCCGCAAATGGTATGCATATGCATACTCTTGGTCCACATAAAATCGCAGATGTTCTTCAGAAATGGGGAGTAAGGTTTGATGGAACAGTAGAGGGATTATCGGTAGAGGAATTTCTATACCGAGTGAAGATTTTGACAGTTGAACACTTTGACGGTGATCTAGAAATTATCAGCAGAAATATTCATCATCTTTTAATTGGTAAAGCTAGTAGTTGGTTCTGGAGATACCATAAAAGGGTTCAAACATTCAACTGGAGAGAATTTTGCGCTGCTTTTCGAGAACAATATCGTGAGAGCAGAACAGGAACAGAGTTACGTGAACAAATTCGCTCCCGGAAGCAAAAGCCAGGAGAATCGTTCGATACGTTTTATGAGAGTGTTTGTAAGCTCATGGATAGATTATCAGTGAGTTTTGCAGAAGACGAGCTAGTAGAGATGATACAAGGAAATCTACTGATCGACATGAAAGAGAGATTGTTATTTGGAAACATTTCATCTATTTCCGAGTTACGAAGGTTGGTTCATAAGCGAGAGAATTTTCTTAGGGAAGCAGGCCGAGTGCGGTCATCACAAACTAAGCCCGGACCATATCGCGTATACGCGGTGGAGGACAATCAACTCAGTGAGACTCAGGAATGTGAGGATGATAACGAAATTGCAGCAATTCAACGCACAACTCCTTTGTTGTGTTGGAACTGTGAGGCTCCCGGTCACATATGGGAAAATTGCTTGGCCGAGAGACGTATTTTTTGTTATGGTTGCGGAGCCCCGCAAATATATAAATCCAATTGCCAAAACTGCAAGCGAAAGGCGGAAAGCCGGCAAGGGGGGGCATCCAATCCAGGAAGGGTGTCCCAGAAGTAGAAGATAGCTCAAGAATAGATGTTGAAAAGCTTCGCATCTTAGAAAGTAAGGTAGATCAAAAGTCGAATCCTGAAGTTAAAATATCATTTAAGCCCTATCATGAGAGGTTAAGAAACTATTATCTAGTAAGAGAACGAATTTTTGCTGGACTCGTGAAAAAGAGTAGACGAAATACCCTCAGGATGCGAAAGTACTATCGTTCGTTAAAAAAGAAGAAAACTATGATTGTGTCAACTGTTTTTCAAAACAACATTGATCGTCGTAGTTATGCCAGCGTAGCATTCTTGGATTTTTCTGAACTAGGTTTGCTTGATACGGGGGCCAACATAAGTTGTATTGGTTCGTCCCTAGCGCTTACGGACTTTTCGAAGTATCCCAATTTTAAGTCAATTTTGTCTCAAGTCCGAACCGCTGACGCCAAGTCTCACCAAGTTCTAGGAAGTCTCAAAGTAAAAATGCAGTATCAAAATAAAGAGAAAGAGGTAGAGAACTATTCATAATCCTGTCTATAGCCCAGAGGTTAATATTAGGTATAGATTTCTGGCGAGCTTTCGAGTTAGCTCCCGGGATCATCAGTTCTATATTGAATGAGGAAATAGAAGTAAGTGAAGAGGAGGAAAAATACCCATTAACAGTAAAAGAAAAACAGCAACTTGAGGCTGTTAAGGAGTTATTTCCGAATTTTGAAAAACAAGGATTAGGTCGCACTGCCCTGATGAAGCATAGTATCGACATAGGAGAAAACAAGCCTGTGAAACAGCGTTATTATCCGGTGAGCCCAGCTGTCGAAAAGCTTATGTATACGGAAATTGACCGCATGCTTAGCCTCGGAGTGATCGAACCTTCACAAAGTGCGTGGAGTTCTCCAATGCGGCTGGTGGTAAAGCCAAACAAAGTTCGTTTATGCCTTGACGCACGGAAACTGAACGATGCTACTAAAAAAGATGCTTACCCACTGCAAAGCATCGAAGGCATATTTGCTCGTTTGCCAAAAGCAAATATGATTTTGAAACTGGATCTTAAAGATGCCTACTGGCAAATCGAGTTGACAGAGGAAGCGAAACCATTGACTGCATTTACAGTTCCAGGTCGAGCATTATATCAGTTTACGGTCATGCCTTTTGGCTTATGTAATGCTCCCTCGACGATGTCCCGGCTAATGGATGACTTAATTCCGCCAGATTTACGTCATTGCGTTTTCGGATATCTCGACGACCTATGCATTGTCTCAGAAGATTTTGCGTCACATTTAGCAGTTCTAGTGCGTATTGCAGATCAATTCAAAAAAGCTAACCTAACTCTAAACATAAAGAAAAGTGACTTTTGTGTTACTAAGGTGAATTATCTAGGGTATGTGATCGGAAGTGGTGGAATAGCCACTGATCCGGAAAAAATATCCTATGTAATTAACAGGCCCACACCGAAAAATTTGCAACAAGTGAGAGGTTTTCTCGGTGTATGTGGTTGGTACAGGCGATTTATAAAAGACTTTGCAGAAATCACCTGTCCCATTACAGAAGTCTTAAAAACAAGAAAATGTTTTAAGTGGTCTCCGGAAGCCCAGGACGCCATGGAGAAATTGAAACAGTTGCTAACGTCAGCACCGGTGTTACAAAATGCGGATTTTTCCCGTAAATTTTTTGTACACTGTGATGCTAGTGATTACGGCATTGGTGCTGTGTTGGTACAAGTATCTGATAGCGGAGAGGAAAGACCATTGGCATTTATGTCCAAAAAGCTCTCGAAATCGCAACGAAACTACAGTGTTACGGAACGCGAATGTCTGGCAGTGATATTAGCGATCGAAAAATTCCGGTGCTATTTAGAATTACAACCATTTAAAGTAGTGACAGATCACTCAAGCCTTCTCTGGCTTATGCGACAGCAGAATGTATCTGGAAGATTGGCCCCTTGGATTTTTAGATTGCAAGCTTTTAAGTTCACTATTTCACATCGTAAAGGGAAAGATCATATTGTTCCTGATGCGTTATCTCGAATTTGTGACCCAGAAATCGATAGTGTTGAATGGATAGGTCCAGAAATTTATTTAGAATCGTCATCTTTCCTTGACCCTGATTACATCCAGCTCAAGGAAACAATAGAAGCAAATAGAGAAAAGTTCCCGGATCTGCGAACGGCAGACCGATTTGTGTACATACGCACCGAACACCCCTCCGGAAATGCAGCACAGGACTCGGACTGTTGGAAGTTGTGGGTGCCGGAGGCAATACGAGTAGAGGCGATCCGCCAAGCGCATGACTGCGTTATATCTGCGCACGGGGGAATGCAGAAAACAATTGAACGTTTGCGAAGACACTTGTTTTGGCCAGGTTTGTCCAAACAAGTTCGATAATACGTTCGCGAGTGCGATGTTTGCAAAGAAACTAAAGCCCCGAACACAACATTACGACCTCCCATGGGTCAACAAAGTGTTTCGTGCAGGCCGTTTCAAAAACTGTATGTTGACATATTAGGTCCTTACCCGCGAAGCAAGAAAGGTCACATAGGGTTACTTATTGTCCTTGATCACTTCAGTCGTTACCATTGGTTGTGTCCACTAAAAAAATTTACATCTTCCGCGATAATAGATTTTCTGCGAAATCGAATTTTTGCTGAATTTGGAACACCCGAGATCCTCGTAAGCGACAATGGATCTCCATTCAAGTCTAATGAGTTTGAAGCCTTTTTAACTAAGTTTGGAATCAAGCATACGCTTACCGCGTTATATTCTCCTCAGAGCAACGCGGCGGAGAGGGTAAATCGCTCCTTATTGGCTGCGATACGATCCTATCTGCGAGCAGATCAAACCGAATGGGATTCTAATTTAACTAGCATTTCCTCGGCATTGCGATCCTCGCTGCACCAAGCCCTTGGCTGCTCACCTTACAAGGCTTTGTTTGGTTTCAATATGGTAAATCATGGAAGTGATTATAAGTTGTTGAGAAAGCTATCTCTCTTGGAAGAATCTCCGCTTTTGAATTGTCAGGATAAACTTCATTGGTTACGAGATGAGATTAAGCAAAATAGCCGCACGGCTTATGAGCGTAATGCGACGCAATACAATTTGCGATCCAGGCCAGTCTCGTACAAAGAAGGCCAAGAGGTGTTTAAACGCAACTTTTACCTGAGTAACTTCGCTAAGAATTTCAATAAGAAATTAGGGCCGCAGTTTTCAAAATGTCGGGTGAAGAAAAAAGTAGGAACAGCTTATTACTTGCTAGAAACATTACAAGGCAAAGAAATTGGTACATATCACGCCAAGGATCTTCGAAGCTAATTCCAGCTAATCGTGCCTCGGAGCCTCGTTAGATTATCTGGTGGTGTAATGGACCCATAGAAAAACTTTTTTTTTTTAGTATTTTTTTTTTTAAATTAAAATGATACGCGCCTAAAAATAGTACCGATAATTAGTATCGACCTCTTATCTGGCAACGTCTTAAAAATGACAGTTGAAACCACCAGCTGGTGAATACCGAAGTGCAAATCAGTGAAGGGTTCTTCGGGTCTCCAGCTTCTGGCTTCGATCTTTTCTATTGGAGTCGTCAAGCTGAGAAGTTGGTCCCGAACCCAGCAGGGAAAATATACAAGAGAGCATATGCACATGTGCTCCGGACCCTAATCCCACTGCTATTTCGGCATCGGTTGAAAAAGGCCATCAACAAACCCCAATCTACCGGCTGCCAAAGATTGCCGTGTCGGCAAGGTAAATATTTTTTATAAAAAAAATGTCCAAGCCGATCGACATATAATAATATTTTTTTTTGCACGTGTAGGTCACGCTTATTTTCTTCGACTACACGGCGAGAAATCGCTAGGTCGATTGAGCAGAAAAAATACAAGAAAAGGAAGCACTGGGTAAATATTTCTAAAAAATTCCTGGGCTCGTTGGCACAAGATTAATTATTTTAATTCCTGTAGCTAAACGAGGCAGCAGAGCAGATTGGTTACGCTATTCAGCGCCGGCCAAAAAAAGGCGGCCGGAGCAGCTATCTCTGCTGGAGAAAATTTATTTGGAGTTCGCAGCAGCTTGGAGCAGAGAAAAACCCACAAAAAGTGACCCAAAAAAAAAAAATAAACGTGTGAAACACATTGCAGATTAAAAAAATTAAAAACCCTTAAAATCTAGTGATAAATTAAAAGTTAACGAAGACTCGGAAATGGGTTAAAACAACTCATAAAATACACGACTAGTTAAAATGTAAAATCTTCAAAACCCGACCTCAAAGCGAAAAAAAAAACATGCAGAATAGTGTAAAAACATATATATAAAACTTTTTTTTTTTTTTTTTTTTTATTTTATTGAATGTTAGAATAGTTTATAAAACTAAGACTAACATGTAAATATATAGTGCGAGCTGCCAGGGCCATCGACTATATACGGGGCTATGGTGTATTATTTACAATATTTACAATTTGTGTAGAAGTGTATGTTAAATATTGTGATATAATGTTGTTTCTTTAAGAAATTTGGTTATTATTTTGATGTTTTCTGTGGAGGGGTTACTTAAATAGTGTGTGGCGTTTGTGTTTTTAAGGATATTTTGTTTCATTTGGGCTATTGTAGGGCAAAGGTTTAGGATGTGTTCTATAGTGACTGGAGTGTATGTATGGCAAAGTGGGCAGTTTCGTTGTGTTGTTGTATCTAGGTGATGTTTGTGTGTTAGGCTTGTATGGCCCAATCGTAATCGGGTAAACTTTATTTGGTCGAGACGAGTGACTTCTTCTTGTGCTTGTGAGTCGGTTTTTGATGGCTTCGATTGCTCCTAGTGAGTCAGAGCATATTACAAATTTGCCTCTTTTTTTTAATATTATTTTAGCTGCTTCGAGGATTCCTAAGATTTCGGCTGTTTGTATTGATGAGTAGGGTGGTAGGCTTCCGTAGGCTAGGGTTTCGGTTTCTGTGGTGATTGCATATGTTGTAATTGAGTTTTGCTGAGATCCGTCGGTGTAGATAAACGTGTGATTTGGATAATATGTTTTTGTTTCATTGACGATTTTTTGGTATGTTTCAGGAGGGGTGTTGGCTTTGTTGTAAGTGTGAATTGATGTATTGATTGATTTGCTGGGTAGTTGCCAGGCAGGTTTTAGTTTGTGAATCGTTATCGGCTGGTATGGTATTCCGTTAGTTTGGCATTTTGTAATTGCGTTTTGTATTGTTGAGATCCATTTTTTCCGTCTGGTGCTTGGTTTTATATATTTGGCGATAGGAGTGTCTTTAGCTTGTATTAGAGATTTGAAGAGTTTTGCTGTTAAATGGTCATGTTTTTGTTCTATTGTTGATATGTTGGCTTCGTATAGTAAGTTGTGGATGGGTGTCGTGCGGAATGCTCCCAGAGCTAGTCGGATTGCTGCGTTGAATGAAGTTTTTAATTTGTTAAGACTGTTTTTCGGTGCTTGTCCATATATGTGTAGACCGTAGTCGATTTTTGATATGAGTATTGATTTTGTGACGTTGAGCAATGTGTGTGTGTTGCAATTAAATCGTGGGCTAGCCAGGCATTTTATAATGTTTAGTTTGCTTGAAAGTGCTGGGATGAGGGCATTGATGTGGGTGTTCCATTTGTATTTGTTGTTTATCCAGAGTCCAAGTAACTTGAGTGATGAGGAGTTTGTTATGTTGGCGTTGTTACAGGTAATCGTGCAAATGCAGTTATGTTTTCTGCAAATGTGCAGATGTTGGCATTTTGTTGGTGAGAGAGATGCACCAGAGTACTCGCCCCAGGTTTTTATTTCAGTGAAGAGTGCGTTTAAGTCATAATTTATATTTTTGCGTTTATCTAGGTTTATTATTAGAAAGAAGTCATCCGCGTAAGCACTGTTTATTTCTTTATGTAGAGAAATAATGTTACTTAATTTGTTGAATGCTATTATGAATAGGACGACAGAGATAGGTGAACCTTGGGGTATTCCATTTTCTAAAGGGTGTATTGTAGAGGTTTGTGATCCTACTCGGGTTGCTAATTTTCTGTTCGCCATGAAGTTTTTAATGTAATTTATTATTTTAGGTCCGCATTTCCATTTAGTTAGTTGGTCTATTATTGAGTGTACTCCAACCCGGTCGAATGCTCTGGCAAAGTCGAGAGAGACTAGCGAGATATGTTTTTTTGAATTCAATGCTTTGGTGATAAGGTGGTCAACGTACAGTAGACTATCTGAAGTAGACTTTCCTTTTTTAAATCCGAATTGATTTGGATTTTATTGGATATTATTCGTAAGGAACCACCATAGTCGCTGTGAGATTATCTTGTCCAGGAGTTTTCCTATGCAGCAGTTTAGAGAGATGGGTCTGTAGGAGTTTATGTCTATTTTTTTCTTTGTTGGGTTTTAGTACGGGTATGGTAAGGCTGATTTTGTATGATTGCGGAATGTAGTTGTTGTATATTTGGTTGAATTGGGCTATTATTCTATCTTGCGTTGTTAGAGAGCAATTTCTGATCATAGGGTATGAGATCCTGTTAATTCCTGGTGTTGAACCCTTCAGGGATTGTAGTGCCATGTTAAATTCCATTTTAGTTATGTTCCTTTCTATTTCTATTGCTGATGTTGATGGGGAGTGGTTTAGAGTTATAGGTGTATATTTTTGTGTTATGAATTTATGGTCGAAGTTTGTGTCCTTTGAAAGGTCAGACCAATGTCATGTGAACAGGTTGGCTATTTGGTTTTTATCCGTAGTAGTCTCATTGGTGGTTGTGATGCAGTGAATTTGCCTTGCTGGGTTCAGTCCGCAAAATCGTCTTATGTTACTCCAAATTTTAGTTGTTGGTGTCTTTGTCTGTATAGTTGATGTAAATGTTGTAGTTGCTTCTGTTTTCCTTGTCTTAATTTCTCTTTTAAGACGCGCATTGGCTCTCCGATATTCTATTATAGTTTGCTGTGTTATTTGTCTTTTTACTGCTCTCCATTTTTCTTTCTTTTCTTGGTGTAGATCTGATACTTTTTTGGTCCACCAGGGAACTCGGGGTAAGAGGATGTTTGGCGGTGTTTGGGGTATTGTATGATGTGCGCTTTGTATTAGAATTTTGTTGATTAGTGCAGCTTCTTTGTTGATGTTGTTTGAGCAGGGGTATAACTCGTTAAAGTTGTGAGTGTATTTCTGAAAATTCTCCCAGTTGGCTTGTTTAATTTTAAAATAGGGATTGCTTGGATTGTTGGTGGGGTTTTTGGGAAAGAGGTTGATTAGGATGGGAAAGTGGTCGCTTCCGTAAAGATCATCGATTGTGTTCCAGGTGGTGAGTGGAGTCAGTGAAGGAGAGCAGAAGGTAAGATCAACGTGGGTGAAGGTATTGTGCGTAGTAAAGTGAGTTGGTGATTTATCGTTTAAGAGGGTAAGTTGCGATTGTTCGATAAATTTAGCTATTGTTTTTCCTCTTGAGTTCGGTTGTGGGGATCCCCAATTTTGGTGCCAACTATTAAAGTCGCCTGTTACCATAACTAATTCATTGTTGGTGTTTATAACGTTGTTTAAGTTATTGCGTGAAAAAGCTTTGTTGGGTGAGATATAAATGGCATATAATTTAAATTTTTGTTTGGATTTTATTTCGGCTGCTATTGCTTCTACATCTTCGTTAATGTTGCACTGCGTATGCTGAATTGATTTATGAATTAGTAGGGCTACTCCTCCAAATCTGTTGGATGCAATGTTTGTCAGTATGTTATAATTTATAGGGGTTGGTAAACTGTAAAGCTGTTGTATATGTGTTTCTTGAAGTGATATAATATGTGGAGAGTGTGTTTTGATGAGTAATAGTAGTTGGTTGTAATTATTTGTGTATCCCTTAATGTTCCATTGCAATATTTTTAAAGACATTAATGAATTAAAAATTTTTTTGTGCTTGTTTTATAGTATATGGGTTATACGAGGTGGATTTTTGATCTTTGGCTTTAAATGTTTTGGATAGGGCGGATTTTTCTTTGGTTTGGCTTCTAAGTGTACGGTCTCTTGCTGATGTTGTGGGGACTTCCAAGTCGAGATCGAAAAGTGTATCCATTGCTTCATCATTGATGTCATAAGTTACGTGCGTCCGGTTTGCTGGCATAGTTGTATTTTCCATTTTTTTGTCAGAATCTTTTAGTATTTCTTCTGAGGAGTTTGTGATCCTAGCATTTCCTTTATTCTCATGTGTTTCGGTTATTGTTGTTGGTTTAGTAGGGATTTCTAATGGTGTTGTGTTTTTTAGAGTCTGTGAATATGACGTTACTTGACTGGGATTGTGGCGTGCATAATATATGGAACGGGCGGTTTTGTGATCAACTTTTTCGGTGATTTTTATGGCTACAAGTTCCTGTTCTTTAATAAAGACTGGGCATTTTTTATCTATGGAAGTATGATTGTTTTTGCAATTGATACATTTTGGTTCCTGTATGCAGTCGTTATTGTCATTTGTGTGTGTGGTTTCTGAACAGTTTTTGCATGTGGGGCTATCTTGTTTGCAAAAGGTTTGGAGGTGGTTGAAACGAAGGCATTTTTTGCATTGCATTGGGCGTGGAATGTATGGGCGAGTAAATACTATTTCGTAGCCAATCATTACCTTTTCGGGGAGATTAGTGGATGCAAAAGTTAATGTTAACAGACCTGTTGGGACTTGTTTTTGATCAACCAATTTTGTCCATTTGTAAACTTCCTTGACTTTTTGGGATTTCAGCTCTGCCAAAATTTCTTCTTCTGGGATATTTCGGAGTAAATTACAATAAATTACTCCCTTTGTCTCGTTTAGGCTCTTGTGTTCATTTGCTTCCACATCTATTATCCCGATTTTATTAATTTTTAGTAGTTTTTCTGCTTGTTTAGAGTTTTTAGTTTTTATCAAAAGTGTCCCGGCTCTGGTGAGTTTGCATTTTTCAACCTCACTTCCACAAACATAATCAATCGATTTTTTTATTATGAATGGATTTGCATTTTCCAGAGATAAGTTGTCTTTTCGTTTAATTATAATATATTTTTGTTCGTCTGAGTTTGTATTTCTCGAAAACAATTTATTTTTG